ATAAAAGACTGCAAGAATCGCTAACGTTTCCTTCGATAACACGCAGTCATATATGTGATTCTCGCTGAATGCGAGGGAAGATCATGATCGATTCAAGGACTGTCATGGTAAAGTGATGAAAGGAGGATTCGAATGCCGGCCGCACTAGTCTTTCGGAATCTGTATTAAAGCGGGGGTGAGATGCGTCCAACACATTTACAGCATGGTCATGTGTCGTTTCGTTTGACCGGTAATAAACTGGCAACACGTATTTGAAACATCCGACGGCATAAGGCTCCACTAGGTTAGGTGTAGTATTGAAGCTGGTTGACGGGGTTCGAACATAGTACAAAAGCAAGCTGTTGGAAGTACCTTNTCCACCACCCGGGAGAGATATTGTTGTCGGTGGATGCAACTGCCTAATCCAAAGCAGGGTCAAAGTGACAAGTGTTCGGCCGTCCAATGGAGTTTGAACAGCTGTTCCAGCGTGACAATCTGTGATCGCCTACGCAATTGTGCCTTACTCTCCATGATACACCATATGCATGTAGCCACAGAACCTGTAGATCCTACTTACCTTGACTCAAAATTCTCTTATTTTCGAATAGACTGGTTTCGCCGGTGTTTGAATACCATCGTAAAACTTTTTACCCTGAATGGATCTTTGTTTCTTCTCACCATAGTTGAAATTCGCTCGTTTTCTTTCTAGGTGTATTATCTATTGACGAAGCTGAACTGCCACTTTTGCCCTTAGTTTTATTTCGGAGCCTACAATAATCATTTTCCCTGTGGTTCAATACCCACATTGACTAACTGGATGTGAGTGCTGTGTGACAGCTGTTATGATCTAACGGTTCGGGTCACCATCCACGTGTCGGTTCTCCCATAGTTGTTTGATATTAGGAGAACCTGGGTCAATACTGCACTTCACCTCATGTCAGTCATAGTACAGTGCTGTCTTTCTATAACCGATCAAGGGAACAACACACCGTTTGCATGGGCCCATAATCATTGTAGCAACCTCGTGCACCCACACCTCATGATCGATCGAGATAATCACTGGCGCCTTCAAAGGGCGAAGGCGGTAGAAGAATGCGGGTACGAAAAGTGAAAGCACGACATAAATCACATTCAATCTATTGGAGCTTTCACTCGTTTACCATTTCATGTCCAACTGTCGGTAATACATACTTGTTTTTCATGCTTGTGAGTGGTGCCTATCTATCTGNCTGCTGTGTGTGTGTGTGTGTGTGTGTGTGTGTGTACAAAGCCGTGATGCAGCTAGGCTAGGTTTATTCCCTCATTTGGACCGATCGACTCCCACGCTTGACCTCACCACATGATGTCGGGTACCGATGATCAACAACAATCCCTGTTTCTGCTTCTGCGCGCAAACAACCGATTTGGTCAGGTCTGAATGAATCGGGCGCATAATAAGCGTCAAACTTGACCATTTTTTTGATCTTAAAGATGAAAGGCTTGTTTGACAAACCTTTGTCCTACAGTTCGCTCCATAGAGCCAGATGTGTCCATAACCCTGCTGATCTCGAACCCGGTTTTCTATATCACCTTCCGGTGCTCTTGGCCATAGTTCCAAATATTTAGATACTATTTAATCTCTTCTCATGGATAATACATTTTGAAGGTATCTTTATTACAGTTCGTCAATTGTTCTCTTACACATTTACAAGCGGAAAATGTGATCCTCCTCGGTGCTTAATGCCCACTTTTTTCATCTAGATTATGCCTCATTGAGCATATCGCTTCCGTTTCATTTGCCCGGATTTGAGTGTGTTTGTTAAGCCTCTTAAATCCGTATCCCCATACAGTTGCGTACCCCGTAATGACCTTGTTGACGATCATTTTGATGCATTCGACCAGTTTACCAAACGTCTGATGTCTTCTGTGAAACGATGCTTGCACAATGAAATCCTAAAGGCTGTCTCCAATTTCTGATCCCACTACCGATCCTAAATGATTCCCGCCCGTACATTCACCTGTGGGAACAACAATACTTCTGATTTAGTATACGTCTTAACAAGCCGCACACCTATTATTGTTAACGTTTCGGTCCACCTTACACGTGGACTTTGTCATTTCTTTTTACATGAGAGTAGTGGATAATTTGATTCAATCACACAATTGGTTTCGTCGTGTATAGAGTCAATAAAGCATGCACTGAAAAGCTAGGGGAAGCACTTTACAGCTGTTCCGACCTTGTTGGGTCTTATCAGCAGTGCGAATCCATCGACCCAACTGGGGATCGAACCCGGGACCTCACAGGAAGAACGCCGGGTAGCTGATTAAACCGTCTACGTAGTATTTTAGCGGACAACTCCGCCTCCTGACCGATAGTGCAATTCTTTCGATGGTTGCAGCTGAAGCTTCGTGGACGTCAGCGTGTGGTACTCCAACAGAACTAGTAGTACGATATTGTATGCAGTCAGTGAAGGCAATGAAAGTGGATCTGACGATCTTTTTAATATAGATGGTGATTCTCACCCCTTTTTCTGGTT